GGGGCTGAGGTAACCGGTGCCTGAGGTAACCGGGGGCCTGAGGTAACACGGACCTGAGGTAACCGGGGCCTGAGGTAACCGGGGCCTGAGGTAACCGGGGGGCTGAGGTAACACGGACCTGAGGTAACCGGGGGGCTGAGGTAACCGAGGGGCTGAGGTAACCGGGGCCTGAGGTAACACGGACCTGAGGTAACCGGGGGGCTGAGGTAACCGGGGGCTGAGGTAACCGGGGCCTGAGGTAACCGGGGCCTGAGGTAACACGGCCACGCGCCGAGGGCCGTGGAGAGTCCTTCAGTCAACTGAAAGTGGACCGGGACGCACCCACTACACGCGCGCGTGCACACACACGTGCGCACACACCCTCTCTCATGCGCGCCGTGTGCAGTGCAGAATTCTGGAGAGTAGGCGCATCCCCCCGCAGGCCAGCGCGTGGGAGCTGGCAGGGAACGTGCGTGGGGGAAAGGTGGGCTCCGAAGAAGCTCCCAGACGGACGTGGACTGTGCGGCCCCTCCCCAGCCTTTCCCTGCGGGCGCGGTTGCCAAGTCTGAGGTGCACGTGGGCAGTGGGCCGCACCCGCTCATAGACACGCGCGCCTTCTGCTCACATCCTCAGGCCGCTGTCGCGGTGCCCACGGCCAGCCGGAGTCCTCACACGTCCTCGGGTGCTGCACACGCATGAGCCGCGGCAGGCGCACAGCCCCGCGTGCCTGCGAACAGCAGCGCGGTCGTGCTCGCGTGCCCTGACGCGCGCCTCCCGGGCCGGGCGCTGCTGGAGCCGGGGGAAGTTGAGGCGAACTCCAAATAGCCTCGACTTCCTGGGTGAGCGCCGCGGAGCGCGGAGCTGCAGCGCCCCCTGGTGCCCCTGCTGCGCCTCGCCGCTGGGCTCCCTCCCGCTTTCCCTCCCGGTCTTCGCCGGATCCGTCTCCCGCTCTCCCTCCGGTCGAGTCTCCCTCCTCCCGGCCCACGGAGCCCTGGTCTCCCGCTGGGACGTACCTGTAGCCAGAGAAGGTCGAGGATGCAGTGGGGCGCGCTGCGCACACGAGCATCTCGGCCGCCTCAGCAGCCACCGGGTTTAGCGGGTTCCCGCATGCTGCGGCCCCCGCGCTCTCCCCTGGCTGTCCCGCGCTGTCCGCATCGCCCCCACGGGGGGCGGCTATCCCAGCCGGAGGCTCTGCAGCAGGGCTCTACGGGGCGGAGGAGAGAAGGAGAGGCAGTGTCAGCCCGCCGGCGAGGGGCGGGAGGGTCGAGGGAAGGCTGCAGTCTGCAGTGCTCACAAGCCCCCCATGCGCCCAGCGGGGCTAGACCGGAGCGAGCGGCTGAAGCTCCGTGCCCACGACGCCCCCAGTGCGGATCCTCAGCCCCTGTGGCGGATAGCGGGAGCTCCACTCCGGGGCGCACTGGAGAATGGGAGCCCCGGGTTGGCCACCCACGAGAAGCTAACTGGGCACCGCTACCCGCACCCCTACCACCTCCCCGGCGCCGGCTGCTGCGAGTTGTGCGACCGGGAGCTGCTGAGCGAGGGGGGTAGGGAGAGAAAAAGGAGGTAACGGCGGGGGGGCTGCTGGCTGAGTTTGCGACGAGCCGGCAGGAGGAGAGGGGGAGGGAAGGACACGGGCTCCCGCGGTCCCGGTTCCCCGGGGGAGGTGGATCGTTCCCACGCAGCGAGCCTCTTGCGATCCTGCCGCTCCCTCCCTCTCCAGGCCTCCCACCTCCCCCTCCCCAAGGGGGCCTCCTATGCCGGGCGTCCCGCGCCAGCACTCACCGCAGCCTCTCTCCACATAGTTCTCAGCAGTGGCCGCTCCTGGTCATCTCCAGGGCTGATGGCTGCGGCCGCGATTCTCAGCGCTCACCAGGTCCCATGATCCGGCCAAGCCCTAGGAGCCCCCCTCCAAGAGCCCGAGCTCTGCTCGCTGCCCCACTCCGGACGGCAACCGCCCGGTCCTCTGAGCGCGCCGGAGCACCCTTTCCGCAGCCCAGCTCCGGGCTGGTGTGTTTGAAGGCCAGTGTGTGTGTGAGTGAGTGTGGGAGCGGGCGCTCGCGTGTGGCCGGGGATCCCCACGGTCCCCGGCCGAGAGAGGCGCGGGCGGGCAAAGCCAGCTCCCTCCGGGCGGTTTGCTGCGGGAGCCGAGCCGGGCGTTCGGTTCCCCACTTCCCGGCGGGAGTCCGGAGAGCGCCTGGACACCCTGGTTCTCAGCACTGGCAAAGCCGGGTTCCCGGGGCGTGTTTCTGCTGCTGTCGCCTCCGAGGAAGAGGAGGAAGGCAGGGGCGCCCTCAGCACCAACTTAGGGACTTATTTTCCGCCGGCGAGACGCAGTAGCCCCCGCGCAAGCCGAAGAGGCTTGGAGCTCTGGCGGGCGAAAGCGTCTCCTGCCCGCAGCCTCTCTCCTAGGTGGGTCGAGACAGACCCCGCAGTCCCTCGGCGGCGGCGCAGAGCGCGGCCACCCGTTCGGAGAGCGCAAGGCGGCAAAAAAAGGCCAGCATAGGTGGCTGGCTGGCGACGGGGGCGCCTGCAGCGGCGCGCGCTTCTGTCCGTGGTGCTGGAACCACGCTCTCCGCCCGCTCCCGGGCGTCTGGTGCGGCTGAAGAATCAATTATTCAGATCTCTGCTACTGCTTCCTCCTCCCCCAGTGCCTCACGCTGGGTACAGCTATCCCCCTCCACGCACAGGCGCGCCGACACACACACGCGCGCACACAGACACACACACACGCACACGCACAGAGTCTGCTCCAATGCTTCTCCCTGTGCCTTGCCACCTCAGTGCAGGAACCCACTCCTCTGATCTCAGGGAGCCAGAATCCTAAAAGCAAAGACATCTACTTTTTCCACTTGCTTCCTTCTAAGTTGTACCAAACATAATTCTGTCTGAGGCTGCCACTTCTAAGCTACCAGAAGAGGTGAGCCAGATAACATGGGACGGCCTGGGCGTATGAGGGCTTGGTTGACTTGAATTCTAGCGACTGAGCATGGAACTCATCATCACGTGAGGAGCTCTGCCCTTTTCATACTCGCCTATATCTCCTACGCCTGTCTGCCTTTCAGGCCTTGGGAGGAAGAGGGTCTTAAATTCTAAGATGTTTTGCAATCACTGTTCTAACTCTGCCTCCTCCACTTAATATCACCTGCTACCGTCCAAATGTTTGTGTTACCACCCCCAAATTCACAGGATAAAATCCTAACTCCGAAGGTGATGGCATTAGGAGGTGGGACCTTTAGGAAGTGACTTCATGAGAGTAAAATGGGATTTGTGCTCTTATGAAAAAGACCCCAGAGAGTCAGCTAGGTCCTTCCACCAAGTGAGACTTAATCAAGAAGGCATAAGCCTATGAACAGAAATCAGGCCCTCCCCAAACACCGCGTCTGCTGTTGCTTAATCTTGGACCTCCCGGCCTCAAGAAGTGAGAGAACGGGAGGCTGAGGCAGGAGAATCACTTGAACCCAGGAGGCAGAGGTTGCAGTGAGCCAAGATCACACCACTGCACTCCAGTCTGGGTGAGAGAATGAGACTCTGTCTCAAAAACAAACAAAAGTGAGAGAGATAAATTTCTGCTGTTTATGATGTCTTGCTATGGCAGCTGGATCAAACTAAAACATCAACTTTGGGACATTATATTATCTTCCCCTATTGTTCACTAATGTGGAAATAGAGGGCAGTAAAAATATCTACTTCTCAGTATTATTTTGAAAAGAAAAGGAGATAGCCTTAGTAAAGGGGTCAACAAGGTCTGTCACATAGTAGATGCTCAAGCAACATTCTGTGCCTTGAAGGTAGTCTGGAAGGGAGGGGACTTCTTCCAGGAATGTGGATGTGGCTGCTGAAATGGAGACAGGAGAGGGGCACAGTGTCTGGAGACAAATGGATTCATTACTGAGCTGGTTGTGCCATGTTGGGTTTCCTGGATTTTTTTTTTAATCCAAAAGACAGAGAAAGGGTGAGGGAAATTCTGGAAAGTAAATGAAAATGGGGGATTGTATAATGCAAGGCAGGGAAAAGCGAAGTGTTCGTTTCTTGATTCTATGGCTGGGCTGAACTGATTAAGCCACTCCTTGGCACCCATGGCTTAGGGTCTAAAGGGGAAGTCAGGCTGTTTTATTTAAATGAGTTATAAATTATAGACAATAAAATGCATATTTCTTAAGAGTTTTGTTTGTGAAGTTTTTTGTGGTTTTTTTTTTTTGGTGTTTTTGGGGTTTTATTTTTGTTTTGTTTTTGAGACAGGGTCTCACTCTGTTGCCCAGGCTGGAGTGCAGTGGTTTGGTCCTAGCTCACTGTAAACTTGAACTCCTGGGCTCAAATGACCCTTCTGCCTCAGCTTCCCAAGTAGTTAGGACTACAGGAATATGCCACCACATCTGGATAATTTTTATTTTTTTTGTAGAGATTGGGTGTCACTATGTTGTCCATGCTCTTATCAAACTCTTGTCCTTAAGAAATCCTCTGGCCTTGGCCTCACAAAGGCTGAAATTACAGGTGTGAGCCACTGCAGTCAGCCAGTTGACTACATTTTGAAATTGTGTGTATCCATGTAGTTCATCATGTGAAACGAGGTACATAACATTTTCGTCACCACCAGGAAGTTTTCTTGTGTCCCTTTGTTGCCAATCCCATTTTACCCACCCAGTGTAAACTACAATTTTTATTTATAACACCATGTATTAGTTTTGCCCTTTTTTGAACTTCATATAAGTGGAATTCTATACTATGTGTTTTTTTGGTGACTGTCTTTCTGGCTTTTCTCAATTACTCTAATGTCTAGAAGATTCCTCCGTGTTGTGTGTATCAACAGCTTTTGAATTTTTAATTACTGAATAGCTAGCTCTCTATTGCATGAATAAGCTACAGCTTGTGTATCGAGTCTCCTGCAATAGATACGTCGGTTGTATCTATGGGATTTTTTAAAATACAGGTGTGGCTGGTTGTGGTGGCTCACGCCTGTAATCCCAGCACTTTGGGAGGTCAAGGTAGGAGGATCACTTGAGCCTAGGAGTTTGAAACCAGCCTTGGCAACATGGCAAGACCCCATGTGTTCATACTGCTGCACTCCAGCCTGAGAGTCTAGAGTGAGACTGTCTCAAAAAAAAAATAAAATACAGATGCCTATGCCCACTTTAGATTTACTCCATCAAAATCTTCAGGTATGGAGCCCAGCATAGACATTTATTTTAGATACATAGGTGATGCTCATGATGCCTCTGCACTTTTTATTCTCATCAACTGATGCTGATGCTGGAATTGATTGGTCTTCATTGAAAACTATTGGTATGCAGAGTTTTAAGTTATTCATGATCAGACTTACAGAAAGATAAATCAGATATGGCCTCTTTTGAATAGAGAAAGAAGGCAGCCCTTTATCTGAAAGGGCAGTGTGCCTCTAACGGCAGGCACAGGTGACTGGAGTTTCAGTGGGATGGACATCTCCCATGGCATATCATGTGTCAGGCACCTGGAACTTCACCATACAGGTGAAGAGAGACTCTGACAGAGTGTATAGGATCATGACATCTTACTTTATCTATGCTACAAAGCTTAATCTTCATTGCAGCTTAGGATGCTGAGCAGAATTTTGCTACTCAAAGAGTTTCAGATAGTAAGAAAACCTTTGTCATAGCAACTATACCAACTGTGATGGTTAATGCTGAATATCAACTTAATTGGATTGAAGAATATAAAGTATTGGTCCTGGGTGTGTCTGTGAGGGTGTTGCCAGAGGAGATTAACATTCAAGTCAGTGGACTGGCAGATCCACTCTCAATCTGGATGGGTACAATCTAATCAGCTGTCAGCATGGCCAGAATAAATGCAGGCAGAAGAACATAGAAAGACTAGATTGGTTTAGTCTTCTGGCCTCCATTTTCCCCCAGGGCTGGATGCTTCCTGTCCTCAAACATCAGACTCCAACTACTTCAGCTTTGGGACTCAGACTGGCTTCCTTGCTTCTCAGCTTGCAGACAACGTATTGTGGGACCTCACCTTGTGATCATGTGAGTCAATATTCCTTAATTAACTCCCCATTATATATACATCTATCCTATTAGTTTTCTTCCTCTAGAGAGCCCTGACTAACACACCGACAAAGACTTCTCTAAGAGAAAGAACAAGGAGCACTTCTTCCACATACCTGGGCAGGCCACACTGCTGTACCCCAAGAGGAAGCACCATGGGTTCCCCTTCTGACACTCACCATTGGAGGGCAGTTTCCACATCCAGAGGAGGCCAGGCCTCTCCTGTAGGAAACATCTTTCTTGCAGGCTCACTCACCATTGTCTGGGAAAGATGGCTCTATCTAAAGCTGTCTCACTCGGCTGTGATTGGTCAGAGCAGTCCCTCAAGACAATGCTTTGATGGCCCTGAAGTCAGACCGTGTCAGGCCAATTTCCCAAGGCCAGTAGTTCCCAAAAGTCTAATCATTCACTCCACAGATAAAGACTCTGTCTGAGTCTGTGCCTATGGAAGACTTCTTAGGGAAACGTCTGGATGCTGAGGAGAGAGGTCATATTTCCTGGTACCTGGGATCAATGAAGTGTGGCATCTTGAAACTGTGGAGGCCCTTGGTGTTGATCAAACCAATGCCCAACACAAGTTTTTTTTTTTTTTTTTTT